GTCTTGACAAGGGTTCAGTCTAGGAAGGAAGGAAGGTTGTTTGTGTGCCATGTGTGACGTTTATTCCTTTGGCCTGAGGTGAAACTGTCTGAATCCATATAAAGTGTACAATGCATTGCACTGTGCTTCATATTCCTATGATATATTACACAATGTCAAAAATATTATTGACTTTAGAGAATGGGAAGAAGTAGGTGAAAAATACCAAAGCTACAGTGGTGTCTGACAAATGTAGAAACACACATAAACATGCAGGCATTTTCTTTTGTTGTTGTTGACCATACCTAGTTTTTACAATATGTTGAAAAAAATATTGATATGTGCAGTAAGGGCCGTTACCCATCAATCCTTGTAAATGGTGCTGTGTGTCTGTCGAATCTCTGATGGAACAACAAATGTTTCCGTGCAAGATAAAGAAAGCATATGTGTGTTTGCTCAGGCATGCACACACTTTGTGACAATAAGGTCTAAGCCTGCATAAATGGTTGACAACTTGTGCACAAATACCGGCATGAAAAGGGAACTGATGCGGAATGAAAAAGGATGAAAAGAACAGATATGCAGAAAGGAAATTTGGTGGCAGACGAAAAGAAGGGAGGGAAGAGAGTTGGGGGAAGAGGGAGATATATATATATATATGTGTGTGTGTGTGTGTGTGTGTGTGTGTGTGTGTGTGTATATATATATATATACATATATATGGCATTCACACAAAAGGGAATGTTATGGAGGTTCTCAAGGCATGTTACAAGAATGGAGATAAAAGGAGTCAAGAAAATGGATATACAGACTTAGTTGAGTGAACCCGACTGATGAAACAGAGATAAAGCTTGCTGGGGCCTCCCCTTTAGAACCGCAACACGTAGGCTTCTAGTTACACAGCCTAAATTGAAGTATTTCAGATTCGCACGACCCACTCACCCGCCACCCCTTTTTCGTACGGCCACCTGTTTGGAAGACCAGAGCAACCAAGCCCAGCGCTTTCCACCCCGATAGGCAAAACAAAACAAAACAAAACAAAAAAACCCACATTCCAAGAGGCCCCCGTTGTCTTCCTGCTGAAACAACGGCTCGGCAGCGGTATCCAGCGCACAGGTCTAGGTCAACTTTACAGTGTGTGTGTATGTGTAGGGCTACAGCATTGCTTTCGTTGGCGCACCCTCCCGAAGGATCTCTCTGCTTTCCACCCACCCCAACTTCGGACGTGCGTGTGAGGTTGCAAGCACACCATCCCTTACCACCTGCTGCCCTTTGGATGGGAAGCCACGAAGAAGCGCATCCATGAATCAACCCAGAAGAAGACCAGAGCTGTGTGCCTCGCTGCGTCCCCTCCCTTTGAACCACCCGTAAGACACCCCACTTCCCCGTCTCCCCTTCTCGGGTCCTCCCAGCCCAGGTGTTCTACCTCTCCTCGTTTCACTTTCTCTCTCTCTCTCTCCGGCGATCTTCTTCCTCCTCCACCACCCAGCCCGGATCCGCTGCAATCGGGGCTTCGTTTACATTCCTTAGGCGTCTCTGCATCCCGCGCGCTTCCCAGCCTGGTGGTGCAGGCGAATGGCTGGGGGGGGGGGGGCGGCGAAGGGACCGAGAGAGACGCGCGTGTGTGCGTGGGCAAGCGCGGGCGAGGAACGGAAACCGACCCTACCTCGCCCCCCCCCCACCCCCGAGTCGGATTTGTCCTCTCTCCCTCGTCCTTCTCACTTACCTGCTTCAAAGTCCTGAGCCCCTTGGAGTTAGCCCATGCCACGGGCTGCTGGCAGTCCCCCTTCCCATCCTCTAGCCCGCTCTTTGCCTGTCCCGCCAGCCCGCCTGACCCACCTCGCCACGCCGCGCCACGCCTCGCCTGCTGGCTTACTCCACCCTTCTACTCCGTCTTCCTTTGGCGTCTCTTCACCCCTGCCTTGTAAGGCAATAACAGGCGGACGTGAGCTTAGGGAAGCGGCTGGAAATCAAGCGAAGACGGACCCCAGTGGTCATCCCGCAGCTGGACTTCTCGGATCTGCAGCCTGGGAAAGGCAGCTGGGACCGCAGAGAGGCAATTTAGGCTCGTCCCTGAAGTAAAACCTCTAAGAGCAGAAGCAGTGTATCTCTGAATCACGGGGGATGAGGTAGTGTGGTGGTATAAAGAGATTGGCTTACAAATCGGGAGGGGAAACCAACATTCCTGGGTCTTACCTTCAGCTACCTCAAGCTTTCTCTCTCTCTCTCTCCAAGTATGCTGTGATTGAGAACAATACTGCGGATTAACTTTACAAGATTCTAGCAAGGCAGAGAAGAAAACCCCTATCTTGTCATCTTCTGTGAGATGGGCAGCCATATAAATGTGCTTTAAAATTAAAGGAATAAATCTATCTATCCATTGGCCAACTCTAGGGCAGCCTGGTGCTCTCCAGATTTCAGTTCCCTATAATTCCACAGCTAAACTGGATACCACCTGTTTAACCTTCTGAGGAAACCTTCTCTAAAACATAATAAAATGCATAAAATATTCTGATAGTAGTGTCTGCTAATAGCAAAATGCAAGAATTGCTGCTTTCCAGAACTACATCTTAGGTTTAATAACATGGGATATTTTTATATTCAATTTTCTATTAGTCTTAACAGAGGCTGCTTGAAGGATGAGGTTTTCAAAAGCTATGATTTTTGAAATTCCAGTGGACCTGATTGGATCTGATGCTGCCAGCTTGAAAGTGTGGAGGGGCAATCAACGCAATATATGCAGAAACTAAAAAAGAAGTGGGTGAAGTGGGCACCCTCAGTAAGTTACGGGCCACCCAAAACCATATTCTCCCATTTCCAAGATGTACGTCTTGTAGGATGTCATCAAATTGCGCTCTGCCAAATGGTCATTTAGGTCCCAAGAAAATTCCAAACATTAGAAGAGCCCAAGAGAACCCTTAGTAGGAAGACAGAAAAGTCAAGTTTCTTGCTCGTTTCTGCTCATCTTGATTTTTAGCAATAAAGAGTATAACACGCTCGATTGTCTCCTGAGATCAAATAAAGCATTAAGACTGGATGCAAATCATCAACACCTGCTAGGGCAGTGGATAGAATGGAATGTAGAAATGCTACATGGACATGACACTATAAATTTCAGGGTGGTTTTTCTTACATTAAGTCTGTTTTGAAAATGAGATGACTTTTTGATTATTTTAAATTTTCATCCTTGTCTTTTAGGAGACTTTGGAATAATTATGTGGCATCAAGATAGACTTTCTCCTGTCCCTAAGCTAGTCCTTTAGTCTTCTAATAGTGCATCCATTATTGCTATAATTAACTCCATTCACCCTGTAGCTGGTCATCCTCTTCTTCTCTTTCCTTCCACCTTCCTTCTCCAGAGAGCTAAGTCTTTGCACAATGTGTCTGAAGAATGAGCCTGGTTATTTGTGCTTTGAGTGAGAATTTGAGTTGATTTGTTCAATGATCCATTTGTTTGTTTTCTTAGCTATCTACAATTTTCTCACTAATCTTCTCCAACACTGGTTCAAAAGTGTCGTTATTCTTCCTATCCTGCTTTTCCAAAGCCCAACTTTCATTTCCATTAAATGTCACAGGTGTGTTAGTGCCTTAACAGCACTGCCTGCCCAGTTCTGATCTTTGTAAATTTAGATACATCCCAGCACCTGAACATCTTTTCCAAGGCCTTCAAGGCTGCTCCACCAAGTGCTAGTCTGCAGCATATTTCTTGACTGTTGTTTTCTTTAATATTGAAGGGTGATCGTAAAAAGCAGAAGGTACCCACCACTTCAATATCTTCATTGCCAATTCTAAGGCTGGCTACTGTACTTACTATCATTAGCTTGGTCTTCTTTACATTTATAAAGAGTGCGTACCCATTTTTTTCACCATGGTCTTTGACTTTGATCATTTCATTATTAGACCCTGCAAATCATTTGCACTTACGGGACTACAAGGAACTATTCAGCTGAGCTAGATAAGCCACGGTCCATGATCTGCACCCAGTTCCACAAAGCTTCTGTGTGTCTTCAGTTGTGTTTATTGGTTGGCTTAACTGATATTCTGCTTTTCTTTGAGATCGATGCCAGCATGCAGAAGTATTTCTTGCTCTCCAATTTTCCCACAACATCAATCTTGTCAGGCAAAGTGGCCTAAGGAAAAAAATGACTGGCCCAGAATCCTACACTGATTCCAGGATTGAGGGTGAGCTTGAACCCAAATCTCCCGGATTGTAATATCTTACATTAAGTACTACATCACCCTGATTTTTCATCAAGAGACCTTTCCATTCACTACCAACATTTGCCGCCAAAACCATGTCAGCAAATTTTAGAAACTAAATTCCTTTGACACGGCATCTACTTATTTAAAAGAATTAGGATTAACTGAGAAAAGTTGACATTTTTAAAAAAAAGCAAGGATGATGTACATTGAAGATGAATTAAATGCTACAGAAATTTCGAAGGTCTAACAATATATGCTAAGAAGGTGCAGACAGGGTGTCATGACAACAGCCCTAGCATCCAGATATGATACACGGCTTCTAATTATACTGGGTCCACCAGATTTGTCATAGCTCATACAGATTGGTAATTGTGGGGAGGTGGGGAACAGCTAAAATATCCTAGTTGAGACATTGCTCCCTCCTTAAGGAAGGATAATGAGGGAAAGGATATTTGTGGTTCAGGACAAGGTGAGTTTATAACAAAAAACACTAGATGGCACATTTGCCTCACAGAGACAGGCAATTATGCTAGATAAGAGTACATTGCAGTACATGCTGATTAGTCAGGCAGGCGGTATAAATCTAGAGAAATGATGGTAATGATGACGATGAGGGCATCTAGTGATGATTTGCATGGGCAGATGGGATACCATCATAAATAAAACATCTTGGAATGAGTCTGCCTGTTGCTGAAGCATGTAGAATTGGCTTCCTCTCCTTTCAGTCAGGTATCTTTGTGGCCAGATTGCAGGAGGGAAGGTACTCCAAGGATGCTGCTCAAGGCCAGCCCTCCTCCCTAATTTGTCTTTGCTCCAGACGTCTCGGTCTTTGCTTCTCCCAATTCCCAACCAGGCAAATATTCTGAGATTTGCCGTATAAAACACATGTAGGATGTCCCACGCAAGGAAGGTGGAGCTTCAGCTCCTTTGCATGAAGTTCCTAGACTTTTCAGGCTTCCCCCTCATGTGGAGAAATATTCTCATCCGAATGTCCCCCCCCCCGCCCCCACCCCAAATTGTCTAGAATAAGGATTGCATAGCAGGATTCCCACCTGGATTGCAAGTCATGACCAGGGCAAGGATACAGCTAACCACCACTCACTCCCTCCCCACACCCACCCCAGCATCTACAGGGATGGCAGGGTTTATGTGAACCATTCGATGTCTTTGTTTTATGCAGCACTGCAGGGCTAACTCACTGCTCACTCCAGGAGTTCAAATCTGTGACTCAAGGTTGACTCAGCCTTCCCTCCTTCCGACGTCATTAAAATGAGGATCCAGATGGTTGGGTGGCAATATGCTGACCCTTAGAGTGGGCTGTAAAGTGCTATGAAGCGGTATATAAGTCTAAGGGCTATTGCTATTTATCACATTTATAAAGGGTGTTAGACACTATATATTTCCTGCCATGCGTTCTCACAGTAGCTTTGTAATGTAATTTAGAAAATGGGGTTATTGTCTCAGCCAGAGTTTCATAGTCAAGTCGTAATTGGACCTTTGGTCTTCTTTCTCCTAGTCCCTTTCTATATCAAATCATTAAACCTTTTTAATGTTCCACTTGCTATTGATAGTATAAGAAGAATGAAAAAGGGAGGATGGGGTTTACTGCAGAGGAAATAGTCAAAATCCCTTAATGCCATAGCTCTGTTCTGATTCAGACCCTCTGCAAGTGGTGGGTTTGGTTTTTTTTTCAAAATAATCTAATCAATGAGAACTACGATCATTATATCTCCAGCATCCTATCAGCCTCATGCCTAACAAAGAAAAAAAAAATCTGCACCAGTGTTTCTTAACTTTAGCAACTTTAAGAACCTTAAGGCAGAATTCTGGGGGGTTGAAGTCCACACATCTTAAAGTTGCCAAAACTGTGAAACACAAATCTGTATATTAGCATGTGCATGAATAAGCACTAAAATACCATGTTGTATGAGAACAAGTATGGTATCATGGTTAAGGTATTTAACTGGAAGTGGGGAGACCCTGGTTCTAGTCCACCCTCAACCTAATAAAATGACTTTAGACCAGTCACCCACTATCAGCCCAACCTCCTTCTTAGATGGGAAAAACCATAGAGTCATAGGGCTGGAAGAGACCTTGGAGGTCCAACGCCCTGCCCAAGGCAAGAATCCTTATGCCATCCCAGATAAATGGCTGTCCAATCTTTTCTTGAAAGCCATCTGTGAGGGAGGACCACAACTCCAAGAGGCACACTGTGTTATGGATTAATTGTTCTTACAGTCAGGAAATTTCTCCTTAGTTCCGTGTTGAATCGCTCTTTAATGAGCTTCCATCCATTTCTTCCTGCCCTCAGGGACAAGATTTATTCCTATGGGGAATAAATCGACAACCCTCTTCCAGAGGTGGGATTCAGCAGGTTCTGATCAGTTCTGGAGAACCGGTAGCAGAAATTTTGAGTAGTTTGGAAAACCAGCAAATCCCACCTCTGACTGGAGATTTTTCAGTATCCTTCCCCTGCCAGGCCCTTCCCCACAGAACCGGTAGTAAAAAAATTGGAATCCCACCGCTGCCCTCTTCCCTGTGACAGTCCTTCAAGTATTGGAAGATTGCTATCGTGTCCCCCCTAAGCCTTCTCTTCTTTAGGCTAAACATACCCAGTTTCCTTAGACGTTTTCATTGGGTGATTTAGCCTCCT